TGCCTCTGACTTTTCTGCCATATGATCTGAAAACTGCTGATTCTTTTTGTGGGAATCTTCCTCTTCTTTAACAGGTTCATCCTCTTCCTTTTGTTTGATACCAAGTATGTCACCAATTTTAGTGCCAGCTAGTTCCCATTCTTTTTTCTGGGCTTTAATTCTCTCCTTCTGCTCTCTGTAATCTTTGACCAATTGACTTCCCTTGCGAGACAGAACTGCTATATCAGAGGTGGGATCCTTTACTGGGACAACAGGTTCAGGCTGCTTGGTGTACATTATTCTTCCATCAAGAAATGGAGCCATGATATTATGGACAAGTAGATGAATCTTAGCTGCACCATCCTCTTCAAAATCGTCATTATGATCAACCTTAGTAACAACACCAGAAGTGAGCATCCTGTTTTGCTCCCATTTTTCCAAATCTGCATTTTTCTGCTGTCTCCAAGCTGAAACCTTTCTCTGGAAGGTTTTGGTGGCTTCTTGTGTCTTCTTTTCTTCGTATTCCTGACTAACACCAGCGAATGGATTCAGATTGTCATCGTACCCTTCATCCATACCATACCAAGCTCTGTCCAATCTCTTTTGCTCGTCTTCGTACTGCTTACCATCAGTAAAATTTACAGCACTTCTTACTGAATTTGAAGTGTTATCCTTTCTACTTCTTTTAGAAGCCCATGCATTATCTTTGAAAGAAGGTGTCGGCATAGGGGACCTTTCCCACCAGCGATTTGCCTTTGAACTTCTTGATGATTCAGTCATATCCCATTTGTCTAAATTAGGTGTACCTAGTTCAGAGTCAGCTTCCCATTTAGAGCGACCGGGAGTATGAATAGAACCATCAGACCTTGTTGGTGTGTCATCATATTGTGCCCTGTTTCTCCGTGATGATGAATTTGACCGATCTGATTTGCTTCCTCCTGAGTATTTAGAAGAATATCCACTATCTTTGTCAGATGAACTTCTGTCTCTCTCAGAACGAGGTGATGACCGTGGTGATGACCTTGGTGATGACTTAGGTCTTCTGTCTTTATCACTACTTCTGTCTTTATTGCTACTTCTATCTCTATCTCTATCTCTGTCTCTATGCTTATGTTTTTTATTTCTGTGACTGTCTACATCCTTGATAGTCGAATTAGATATACCTTTATCTCTATCTCTATCTCTGGTTTTCTTCATACGATCCAAAGCAGATTTGCTGACACCTCCAGGATGAGAGGGAGAATCGTCTGTGACATTACGATATTTTCTTTTAATATCATCACTCTTTTGTTGTTGCTTAGCAAGTTTATCCAGTCCTAACAGGGACTTTTGAGGAACTTTAAATACATGTTCACTTTTAGGCTTTACTATGAGACCTCCTATATCATTATTCTGACTTCCTTCTAAAACACTGCTGGAATCAAAACCTGAGAAGCTAAGTAGATTGCTCATTCCTTTTGGGAATTAGTAGACTGATAGGTGTTTTATTCATGTCATCATTGACCTGGAATGCAGATATTTTATTGAGATTAATATCACGTAACCATTTTTTTTACACTTGTAATTGTGGGTATATTGTATCACAAATGAGTGGATAAATCCAAAACCATAAAATTCTCTGCCAAGAAAACAACAATTTGCAGTATGTAAAACAAAGTTATCAGTGAGTATTATTAACAAATATCATTTAATTATAGATTACGGCGACGAAATGAGAGTTTCCACTCACTGAAAAAACGAAATACATCATGTATTGTCAACGTTTCGGCTACATTCCTTTGTCATAGACGAAAATCCGGAAATTAACACACAGTTATCTGAGCCTATAAGTAATGGAGACTAAATTAAATATACTTGTAAATTAATGTAAGGAACTTTTCTTTATGAAGTCGATCTAGCTAGTTAAATTATGTGGAGAATATGTGAAACGGAATAAATTAGTTGAAATAAAGTAACGAGTTCCATCGTCAACAAAATACTTTATACACTTAATATGTAGGGATTTTTAAATCCTATGTCAGGTAATGAATATATTAAGTAATTAAATATGGACCAATTGAGTACAAAAATATTTGATATGAGGAGTGTCAGATTACGACTTAAGTTTGTCATGTGTATCTAGGAGACCTTATCAATCAAGGAAAAAGAAATTAACATGGTAAGAAGGCAAATTTAAAAACCGCAAAGTATTTAAATACACGACAAAGGCGTTTTTATGTAAAACAGCAACATTCATTAAATTCAAACGGTTCTTTCAGATCGCAAATGAAATTTGATGAAATCTACTTAAGTGCCGACCTGCAAAGGATTGACATCATCAATTAATACATATTACAGTGACAACTCAGTAAACCACTCATTAATATGCAAAAGGGGTGGATATGTATCTCTTCGCCACAACTCATTGAGGGATGTGATAGCAGAGCTATTAGAAACTGCTGGCTGTAAAGATGTTACCACTGAACCTCTCCTCATTCCTGTCAACGGGAGAGAACTTCCTGCAGGGGCCAACAAAGCAGATGGAGCTAGATTAGATGTTAGTGCTAGGAGTGTATGGAACCCATTGGAAAGGGCATTTTTAGATGTAAGAGTATTTCATGCTCAAGCTCCTTCCAATAAGGCTCTTGGATCTCCAACCACTATGTACAATACTCACGAGAGACAGAAAAAGAATTTATACAATAAAAGGATTGTAGAAGTGGAACATGGGACGTTTACACCGATAGTCCTATCAACCACTGGGGGTATGGGAAGGGAAGCTAATAAGTTCTTCAAGAAATTAGCGGATAAACTTTCTAGGAAATCAGGCCAACGGTTGACGGTATAGTGAGGCAATGACATTTATTAGGAAGAGAGTAAGATTTGACCTATTGAGAACAACAGTCATAGCTCTTAGAGGAGAGAGAGGGTTAAAAAGTAGTAGTGCAGTAAAAATAGCAGAATTAGATATAAATTTGGTGCCAGTTCTTTAAACTGGCTTACTTATACTACTTAAAGGGTGTTTATAAATTTTATTTAGTGTTCTATTGAATTTATAATGAATTTTTATATAGGGTAATTATTATATTTATTTAATTATGTTAAACAATACGTTAATCATTATTGGTTGTATAAATAGTTGATTCACGATTTCAATCCTTCGCAGCTCGGCGAGGCCCAGTGCACAGTGGTGCATTTGAAGAAAAGTGTGTCAAACAGTATATATACATTCAATTAAATCAAGTGATGCAATTGGCAGAGCACAATCAAATTTTAAGTGTTTCAATTGGCAGAGCACAATTCATTGCTACCAATAATTTGGTGCATTTTGCCGATCTAACGTTATCAGAGATGGTTGTTAGAATTAATTATTGGAAGCGCGGCGCGGCCTACCAGTAATGCATTTATCGAGCTACAGCATACAGTTTAACGGGTGATACTCGGCGCGCGTCCTGGTAGGTTGTAAACCTACAACATACAGTATAAATATCAATTAAATTTAATTTCGGTACCAATCATGCAGTTATAATTAAATGTGAACTCCGCTTAGTCAGTAGTACGACATTAAAAATAGTAACCGCTCCAAATTGCAATACCAAATAATTTGTAAAATCTACTGCTATATTCTTTGTATCACGTGGTGACCCCCACTGTCGCTTCACTATAGTATGTATCGTCTTCGACGATACAGGGGGAGCCGCGCACTTCGTGCGCGGCGGATCATACAACGTATGACAATACATTCCTTGACCAAAAATTAACTGTTGCCTTCTAATTCAACCGGGAAAACTTTAATTGACGATGTCAACCTTTCCAGATTGTTGCTCTGCGAATTAACAAAGCAACGATCTTAGATGCGAAGTAAGAATGATAGTTTGCGCGGCGCGTCGAAGTCCTTCAAGGAAAACTCAATACAATGCTATCACCCGACATGGTAGATGAATGCGATGCTAAATTTTGCACCGATATAGCTGCATCTTAATAAAAGCAGAAACTATGGAGCGTTTCGAATTAATACGTATAGTACATCGTACCATGCATTGATTGACGATGTCAATCCGTTGTAGGTTTACAACCTACCAGGACGCGCGCCGAGTTGGAACAGATATTTAACGAGTATCACCCGTTAATCAATCCGTCGAGATCGATGCGAAGCAAGAATGCTAGTTCGCGCGGCGCAGTCCTCCAATACCATGCATTGTGCATTGATCGTACAATTTTGGATCCAAATCGATCAACACAAACTGCGCTTAGGTGCCGCGCGGTTGGCTACTCGAAGAGTTTTGGCGCGAACCTGTACAAGATAATACGGTATGTCGTAGGCCGCCGCTCATCACCTGGATCAAAATGAAACATTTTCCCAAAAATAATGTGCATTGTCCGCTTACTCTGCTCTACCTAGTACCTATGTTATGCTCCCGCCAAAAACGTGGTTTAATGGCCTTTAATTAATAAATGCTCGTCAAAGGGATTTCGAAAGATACAAAAAGCAAGTCATGACTGGACCTAAGGATCAGCCTGGATACATCATATATTTAGAGATATTGGCAGTATCCAGATAGCCCGACTGCCGAGATATTGATCTGAAACTAAAATTTCTTTAAGTGGTGTAAGGTAGAATGGCCTCCAGGTAATATGGTCTATGGAACAATCTGTTTTCTTGTAATTACGGCATAAAAATGATGAGATCGGACACAGTTGCTAATATAGTACACAAAGTAAGTGAGTATGGTGAACGTCTGATATTATATGCTCTAAGAAAAATTCGTTTTCTGGAAAGTTTCACCGAAATTAAACTCTTACAAGACATTGTTTATTGTATCAGCAGACCTGATTTGCGATGCTTATAAGTTGTAGACTTAAATAAATAAAATAAAACGGAGAAACGGCATACTAATATCAATAATGTCCATATCCTAAGTTTGTTGATTTGTAGCCTTACTTAAATTTCCCCCACCAAAACATGGTTTTGCTACCAATTGATAACATTTTATTTTGTTCAATAAAACAAATTTTAATTCAACCAAAACAATTATTATAAATGTGGAAATCAAACAATCAATGGAACCGCACACTGTCAATTAAAAACCCTGCACACACTGTCACTAAGTAAAACAAATTGTCGAACTGACTCGCACAAAAGCTAATATGCTTCTAACAGAAACATAACTGTGTTATTGGGGACTTGCAGCACAAAAATTAAGGGTATATTTAGAAATCCACTCTAATGATTGGTCGACGAAAAATATTGTTTAAAACATGAAAATTTTCAGCAAAGGAGAAAATAATATCGGCCATCTTATTGCAAGGAATAGTGGCAAAAGTATTGCAGATTTTGAAAAGACATAATGCACATAATGTAAACACAACATCAAACGAATATATTCACTATTGTACAAAATAAGTTAGGGAATATAATTATAATGTACAAACATCAATCACCAGATATAAGTGTACATATTTTTCAAATATCTCGCACTTTTTAAAATCACTCGAACAAACATGTTTACAATGAAGCGCGCCATGAATATCATAGTGATAAATAGAAAATAACATCTAGAATTAGTAAACATTGCTGGGCTACAGTTGCAATATGAAACATACTCTAGTCTTCGGCACTTGAAGAAAACTGATAGAAACTTCTCATGAATGCACGAAATTCTTTAAATTCTTTGGAAAACAGCGTTACCAGCGTTACCAGCGTTACCAAACATTCTCTATCAGCTTTTTAATGCTTCGTCTGAACATAATTTGAAACGGCATAATAATTTAGTAATAGATTATAATGATAAATTACATTACAGATCCGAAATTGTCACCTCATCTCATCTTAAGAGCAAACCGGTTGCCAGTAAACCAGTTGCCAGTAAACCGGTTGCCAGTAAACTTTCACTTCAATTCTCAACCTGGAACTTATATAAACGAATATTCATAACAAGAACCTATATAAATTAGCTACAAGAAATAAAATACGATCAAGTTACCATGGTTACATGGTTACATGCTGACCTCGTCAGAATGTGGTAAACGGTTCAGAGCCAAATATCTAATAACCCTGACTTGCAGTTGAAGACAATCTTATCTATCTGATCTACTACCAATGTTAAATAAGATTTAAGGGAAGCTGTTAACTTTGGTTTTATGCTATATGACGAAAATATAGTACTTCATTCTAACAGAATTTGTTTTGCAGTGTAGTTTTCACTGATAAAGTCATCACCAAATAAGGATATTATTCAACATTTACTCGATTTAATAGACGTGGGTAATTCAATGGAGGAGAGGTGATACATATTTTAGCTTTAAAGAGGAAATAACTCTTTGGATAAGAAGCATGATATGCCTCAAATAATATGTCATAAACAAATTGCGATCCTATTTTATCCTTTTTAAAGCTTTCTACGGCCTTTTAAGAAATGTCACCCCCTACTTTACTATTACCCATGTCTAAAGTTACCAAAAGTTATTGTACATTAACCCGATAAATTATTATGCGATTGCTGAAGGTGCTTACATAATACGATTCTGAGCTCCAAATTAGAGTTGTAAAATACAGCTGGTTGAGCCCGTAGTAACACCATCACTGTCAGGATATACAACATAATTTGAAAAAAATGGATATTCTTCTTCAAGTGTTAGTAGAACGTATATAATAATATGTTATCTCTGTTGAGAATTGAAATGTACTTGTTACAGTGCGACATGTTTACTGTTCTTTGCACATGCGTAGTACACTATAAAATATTAGTATGTCTCAAGTATAGCTTATCAAAAGTTATATACATCCTCACATTTAAAAAAGCTTGTACCAGTGGGCTTGAGAGATCAATTCAACATATTTACTATGTGAGCAACGAACAGGCGTTTAATCTGAAAATGTTTTGCCAAGTTTGAAATATGTTGAAGTTGACCAATCATGGTACAGTTGTTTTAGAATTCAACAATTCGAGTTAGACCTTACTGGAAATAAAATACAACTGATAATTGTATGATATGCATTTAATGTATTGAAAAATGTATAGAAATAAACAAAAATCATCCAAAATAAGTCCACCTATTTTATATGTTTTCCAGTAAGGTTTAACTAAGACCCGACAGTTTCAAGACAAAAAGTAGCGGGGATATCGAGAATGTAAAGTTATTAGCGCACATTTATTTTAAGCAGAAAACAATCAAAAATATATTTAAGGAAAGGGAGATCATTTAAAATTATCAATAATTTACTACACATTTTCAAAACTCGTCATATATCAACAGGTCAAGCATTAGCCGAGATTTCATTTCGCAGAAATGGAAGAAGTCTTGTTCAGCTATCAATAAAATACATTTTCGATCCTTAAATAGGACATCTCGTAACCGTTACAACAACTTAATAGTTTGTCAGTTTTTAGCTCAACTCAGACTTTCTAGCTGCATCCAGCCACTACGTTCTTAAAACGGTAATTTTTTCTCGGTCAAAACTCAGGGAAATTAACAAGTTTCCTTTAAAACTGCTGGATGAGGCAGGCAGAGTACAACAGATACCATTTCAACAGAAAAGTATTTCAGTCTTTGTTATACAACTCCAGTATATTATTAGTCCGTAAATGTGTTTAACCCTATTCCGATTTCTACAAAAATAACACAAGTAACCCAGTCCTCCTTTCAAAACACCCCTCAAATCTCAATCGTCCCTATCTATCTGTAAGGAAAGAGGCGTGGTCAACACGTGGTCAACACGTGATCAGCACGTGGTCAACACGTGGTCAGCACGTGGTCAACACGCCAGTTCTAGGAAGGTTTTCAGCGCTAACATGCAGGGGCAACCAAATACAGCGCAGCTTTTAGATCTCTTAATTATTTTAAATCTTTTAGAAAAACGATGTCAGACTTACCAGGGCGGAGAGAAAATAAAATAAAAAATAAATTTGTTTTACAAAATAGTTTTGAGTGAATAAGTCTGACAACGTGGTGATATTAGTAACGGGCGTTAGGGTAACATCATACAAAAATATTAGAAAAAAAACCTTTACTTAATTTATAGATAGTCTGAGTGAAAGGGTTTGGGAAAACGTCTGATGTGCACGTGCATGAGAGACGAGCACGTGCACGCCGCGCATGAGCACGTGTGTACTCCTAACTTTCAACCCCTCTCACGATTTGAGCCAGAGAATGGTGGTGGTAGCAATAGCAGCCAGGAAGCATCCTGCCAATATCCGCCGGTGGTTCTGAAGAAAACTCGGCTGACTGAAGTACTGGTAATCCATGGCGATGCCGATGATGCGAAGACGTGACGCTATCTCGTTGAGAACATGTGAAGAGTCGTCACCAGGTGACATGTTTGACCGGGAGTAGTAACGGTCGTTGAGCCGGTCCGCTATCACCGTTAAACGGGCTGCTATCACGTCTGCTTGGATGTCAGGGTGGCTTAGGACACCTAGAGATAATGATATGTTAATTATGTAATGGGGTTAATGACTATGATAAAATTAATGATTATTAGTTAATTCTTTAGAATAAATCAGATTATCACTTTAAATCATTTTAGTTTATGAACAATGGATTTTGAGTACGTGTGCATTATCTTATTATCGCCGTAGATCCTCCCCCATAAAATTTCAAATTTGCAATCCCTGACTCCATAGTTAATGACTATGCTATTGCTAAAATTAATGATTATATTTGTTAATTCTTTAGAATAAATCTGAACGTTACGTCTCAGGATTGATCAGCGATGTTTTATATTGAGAATTGAGGACACAATTTAGTAAGAAAGTGAGGTCAGGTACCCAAGTAAGTGGGTCACGTATATTATGTATGTTATATATTATGTCACGTATGTAATTAATTCATTCTCAGATTATCACTTTAAATCATTTTAGTTTATGAACAATGGATTTTGAGTACGTGTGCATAATTTAATCTATTATCGCCGAAGATCCTCCCCCATAAAATTTCAAATTTGCGATCCGTGACTACAAAAAACAAAGGCCATTAAGCAATGTGAGTAGGCATTAAATGGGAAGGCACTTAAGTCGCCATATAAATGAAGTGTCAAGATCAAGATCTATTAGGGATTCCCCCAGGACCACACGACCATAGAGACTACGTTCATTGGAGGAGAGCTCTTGAAGTCTGGCTCTGAGCCAATAATTTGAGAGTAAGAGTAGGTATTGCGTGAGGTTGTGACAAAGTGTTACAGACGACACAACCCGGCATCCTAACATAATCGCCTACCTCAGACAAATTCAGCCGCTAACTAGTCATAGTTGCCGACAAATGCGGGGACGTTAAGGCAGCAGATTTTTACCGTTATTAATATGCAATTCCTATGCTCCGATCTTCACACATCACAGCGGAAATTTGAGGTTTAGAAATGCCAGGTTGAACAATTTTTTCACCGGGGAAACTCTACATATTCTGTAATTTCTTTGTAAAAGTTTCGAAAAGTCAAGTATGAAACTGACCACTGTTAAGACGCTCCAGGAACTCCTCATTGCTCCCCTCTGATAGCAGTCGCAACCGACTGTAGGACTGAGGCGTTAAACTACCTGAAATAGAGAAGATTAGTCTTCTTATTATTATTAATACTATTACTACTGTCTACTAACTGTCTCTTATTAATTCTTATTAATTTAGATTGAAACAAAGTGGCCTGGTCTTTCTTAGAGGTCATAATTCATGCGATTAAAACCAAGACACAAGTTGGTAACTCACCATGTATATGGGTACGTCTAAAGTTGTGAGGAATAGGTGCCAGTCTGTTAGGCTCACTAGGTTGACGCATAGGCGAGCTGGCGGTTAGGGGTGATCCCAGCGAGTCTATTATTATCGGCTGTAAAAACTTTCTATTATCTATCTGTTCGGCAGGTTACATCTTTTTTCTACACGATGTTAATATTCAAAATAAATTGTTATAATCTCTATTCAATCGAAAGTCAAGAAAAGCGAAGAGTTTCAAACACAAGAAAATATTTTAAAACGTACCACAGCTTCGTCCACTTCGTTAAATACGTCGTCCATCTCGTCGTCTGGTATCTCTGCGATTTCGTTGAGGTAAAGCTCGAAATCAGTCAAGGATTCCCCCACCCCTGAATGTATACCTGAATGTCAAGATCTCACGATAGAGTCCCAGCAAGACGGGCAGGACTTGTGGGACTGTGCCGCGCATGCACGTGCACAATACATGCAACTTATTATCATGCTCAGCCGGGTAAACCCGTAATTCATGGTCATAATTTGTTTCATATTCATTTACGTGAAAAGTTTGACATCAATCAGTTTAATCGAATAAATTGTATTATTATCAATATTATAATTAATTGATAATTAATACTACAATTAGCCGATAAAATAGGCACATTATAATATAAAGAGGACTAACCGGAATCGTAACGGCTGAGATTTGGGCACCTGCAGTGAATGGGGCTGTCGGGGAGCGCATTATCTCGACCTGATCTGAAATAGTGGAAGCCTATTAAAATTCAATATACGCCATTAATGACTTTCTGATATCAACTGACAATGTAAGGAACTAAAGTTTTGGATAGTAGTAAGGGATAACAATATGTCAAGCAGTAAAATATTGTCTCTGAAAATAGCCAGTTTAATCAATTGACAGATTAGCAACTAAATACTAGAGAATTTATTGTCGCTATTTTTTTGACAGCGAAATTTCATTGGCTTATAAAAATGCATGAGTGATGGCAAATTGCCAAGTCACCGCACCACTTTCTGGTGAAGGGAATTGCTGAATTTGATTAATACCTTAATGACAACTGGCTCATTTCAGACAAATTGTTTTATTGGTAACATTTATCACAACTCAATTTGAAGATTGATTAAGAATCTGTCAACTCAGAAACTTCTTAATCTTATGATCTTGATCTTCGTAAGTGAGCTAAAATCGATGAAAATAAGACTAATGCTAGGTCGGTTCCTAACCAATGGTTGATTGATTATTCTGAAGAACGCAACTCGACTGCCATACACTAAAGAAGCCGGCACTGTTACTGTTGAAGACACACCAGTGCAGTGAAGACAGTGATTTTACTAACTCTGGCGCGATTATATCTACCAACACTTGCTCGTGTGCTGTCTGCACGAGCTTCTAATCAGACCAGAGATAATATGGCGGAGCACAATATCACGACAATATCACGACAGTACCAGAACAATACCAGGACAATACCAGGACAATACCAGTCCGACAATACCAGGACAATACCACGACAATTATACCAGGACAATACCAGGACAATACCAGGACAATACCACGACAATTATACCAGGACAATACCAGGACAATACCAGGACAATACCAGGTCGATACCAGTCCGACAATACCAGGACAATACCAGGACAATTATACCAGGACAATACCAGGACAATACCAGGTCGATACCAGTCCGACAATACCAGGACAATACCAGGACAATACCACGACAATTATACCAGGACAATACCAGGACAATACCAGGACAATACCAGGACAATATCAGGACAATCAGGACAATACCACGACAATTATACCAGGACAATACCAGGACAATACCAGGACAATATCAAGACTAAAATATATAGCAGATAAGATATAAAAGCGTGCGGTTGATAGTGTTTTGTTTCTAGCAGATCGGTTTTTATATTTCCGTTTTATAATCCTGTTGATTTGTATATACCGTTTTGAAAATTTTTCAAATCTAAATCTAATATTTACTTACAGTAAAGTTGGGAGATCACGTGACTCTGGGTCCGGGCTAGGCGGTTCTTCTTTTCGTCTCTTTGACATGATCAATTGTTATAGCTAAGCGGAGAAGAGGGTTACATTTCTCGTTTGAGTCAAATATTATCAAAATTTAACTATCGGGGCTTTATCATAGTTCAAAAATATTTCAAACATTTTTAAATTTTAAGAAATGACAAATAAAGTTGGACACAACAATTCGCCCCAAAACAAAGAAGGTAATAGAACAGTAAAAATAACAACTACGGTCCACAAGATGGGGCATGATGTCGTACTGAAGAAGAAACTTAATTTCAACACTACAACTGTAATACATCCACTGAGGACTGAGGATTAATATCCACCACTAGAACTGGACTACTCCAGTATAATACTGGGGTTAATGTTGAATGTTTAAAAGTTGAGGTTTACTAAAATAACACATAGCTGACAGAGTGGTTAAAAACTAGTGCTGCCTACTCAACTAATACTACTACTCAGCACTCACCAACACTCACCAACACTCACCAACACTCACCGCTAACTAACACTCACCAACACTCACCGCTAACTAACTATTCAAGGTACGAGCTATTAACTCGGTCTTAACAATCAGCACTTTCTCTACAGATATATCTACTATAAAAGTTAACATGAACAACTCTAATTTAAGATTAACAACAAACGATAAGATAATGGTCACGCTCACCCGAAGTAACACTTCTATTAATAATTACTGATAACGAAAGATAAGCAGGCTCGTGATTGAAATGTTTTGTTGGATTGCCAGGACAAAAACTTAGGTTTAGGTACTTGGCATGTCCTAAGAAAATTAATTGACATAATTAGGAGTTAATTGATATTATTAGGAGTTAATGAGGCGTGGACAAGAACTGTTAACTCACTCGACCGTGAAGTAAATCACGTGGGGGATTCAATAATTTGATTAATTTTTACTATTTTGACACTACAAATCATCAATCATCGTCTACCGAGTATGAAATTACTATGATATTGGCATTTGGTAAACAATGCAGTGCATATTTTTGTTGTTGAAATATTACATTTTTGTTGAAATATTACATCATACCCCTCTGGAATTTCTATTGGAACGTTACATAATCGTCATTACAAATTTGGGCAACAACTGTAAGAATGGACGGTAGTGTTATTATCGAAGGGACAGTGTTAAGTGTAGCTGCGAGAACAATTTATAGAAAGAAAATAGCTCTTTCAAAATTATACGGTGCTGTAATATGATCTAGATATTTTGCACACATGTACATTTTATAATATCATGTACTCACTTTGAGCGATAAGAAGAGTAGTGGCGAGGAATTTGAAAATATTTGTCATAAATATTGGCCGAGGAAACAAACAGTGACCCGAAGTAAGAACACTAGAACATGTTTACCCTGGGACACTTGTTCAGTTCAGTTCGATAACTGGACATAATTAGATCTTCACACAAAAACCAATTCTGGCAATGTTCCGGTTCCGGCCAAAGTAACAAGTTCCGGTCAAGTGCCAGGTTGATGCTGCATTGTTGGAGATAAAACTGCTCACGTTAAAACTCTGATAAAATACCCAGAAAACTGATAAAACAGATGATGAAACAATTGATTAAACTCGTATGTGAGCAAGAGCGAATCGCATACGTAATCTGTTGTGATATATTTCCATTCGTAATATCTATTTTTAGATAGTATCTAGTATTCTAGTACGGATATAGTAAACAGCACTGATATAACAACGTTATAGTCTCAAGACACGAATTTGAGAAGCTTCCAAAGTGGGAACGGAAAACACAAATGTTGCCCTAATTACAAATCATATTAAGAGGCCCATCCAAAACGTCAAGATCTTGTAAATTTCCGATTTGAACTGATGCTGTTTGACAGATTTTAAATACAGCTGCCGGCTAGAATTGGTTGACAAAGTCAAAGAGAATAAGTAACAAAAGTGATTAAGTGTTAGAGACAGCAGTCTGTAGCAGAGGACGGAGGGGGAGAGGAGTATCCTGGTAATTGGAAACAGTCAGAGAGAGCGGTGGTGCGTCAAAGAGGCAACAACTGACTCAAAGTAAAGGACTCTAACACAACAAGTATATTCAACCAGCTAGAGATCGCATACAAATATCAACTGATAAAGAATCTAAACCACTAGCATATACGGGGTGGATTCTGAGGTTTTGATTGGTTGACTGGGGCAGAATGAGGCATTCTCATTGGCTGAGAGCTGCTTCGTGTCCCGAGCGTCCCCCAGTCTAGAGCTAATTGTATCTAGCCAGTCAGCTCTGAAAGAATATTGTTGATTTGTGTTACTGGAGCCAGCATCCAATCAGAAGCGTCCGGGAGTGACCCGACCAATGAAAGAGCTCAGAAGTGAGCACGTGACCCACAATGTGTAATATCGCTGCCGGACAGTCTGAGGAGTGATAGTTGGGACCCTACATGAATCATAATGTGATAATCATTACAAATAGCACGACAGAGCAGCAGGCTGATTAGCAGTACCTGTCTCACACACGGTACAACATTTCTAACCAGCACAACAAGTAACCTACACTGAACTGATAAAGGCCAACTGCTGGGGTCTCTTTTATGTAATTTGATTACAGTGCTAGGTGGTGATATCTCATTGTCGTCATAACACACTAGCTCAGTGTACGGTAAGAAAATCTTATAAACATCTTGAAATGGGCACTAAACTGAAACAATTCGGTAAGCTTATGCTTTCACAAACTTAAGTAACAAAGTAACATTATAACAGTGTTGATGGTGTCCTTGGCAGATATTAAATTTTGTATGTGATTCTGTAATGTTGAGAATGTTGAAGCCATAATTATCAAGCGTTGGTATGTAAGTTGTGACAATAGTTTTTCAACGAACAATTCAATCTAAAAATTTAATGTGGAAAAAGAACTTTATATTGTAATAGTTAATTACAACTAATCTAGGAGAGCAACTTTATGATGTCTCTTGTGAACGGTTACGAACTGTAAATACAGAGAATAATCGGTCAGATTCGGTGAGATTTATAAAGCAATGAGCGGAGCTAGCTATACGACGGTACGGCTCAATCAAAACTAAGGAGTTGTTGTTTTAGTCATAATGTAAAAAGAAAAGAGACGAAGAAAGACTAGTGCGGCTCTAACTGCGGCTCAAGATGTACAGTACTTGAGATTCGGCTCAAGATGTACAGTACTTGAGATTCGGCTCAAGATGTACAGTACTTGAGATTCGGCTCAAGATGTACAGTACTTGAGATTCGGCTCAAGATGTACAGTACTTGAGATTCGGCTCAAGATGTACAGTACTTGAGATTGAAATATCCGCTGCACTGTGAGTAAGAGATTATGAGCTAGACAACTGTTGGAAACTCTAGACTCGACTGAAGGCTAAGGAGGAGGAGGAGGAGGAGTGCCTGGTACCCTGGTACTAACTACCACTCTATTGAGTATTGAGGCGCACTCGACAGAACTGTGAATATTTATATAGCTGGAAACGATCATAAGCAACAGTAAGATGTAACAGAACTGCTGCAAGCTGGCTCACTCTCTTTCCTAAATACAACAACTGAAAAATTATAAAACTCTACTGATTAAAGTTTTCGAACTAAAAAGAAGTGACAAAAACAACAATCGCAGCTCTAAACCTCTAAAAACCCCCACATTGGTTTAGCGTAGACAGAAGTACAAGAGATGTCACGTGACAGCAGTACAAGAGATGTCACGTATTGTCGCAAGCTAATTGACGTGAGCACTTCTGACATGCAACAGGGGTCTCAGTCACTGTGCGTGTACTAACTTACTGCCATACGTAGCATTTATAAATAAACAGTCAAGTATGTGCGAAGTTGCGCTTCGTGTCAGACTCCTAAAGTGTGTCTAACAAACAATGGAAAAGTTGGTGACATTTAAAACTTGAAAGGCTGGAAGTGCGTAGGGAGTCGATGTAGGTCACAAATAAGCCACAAAACTAATAAACAAAGCTACTGTCTAGAGTAGCTAAAATAGCTTGTCAAAGGCTGTTTTTAAACTTCTGTCACAGAAATAGCTTGTCAACAAAACTTATGATATTATGAAGGATGCTAATAAAAGGTCTACTATTTGTGAAGTGTTGTCATTGGTCGAGATGTCGTGATGTCGGGCAGATTGAATTTTTTAAACGACGGTCTCGAATTTTCGAGGGGTTTAACCTGAAACGATTAAAATCGAGCATCTGAATCGATTACGAATGCACGAGATAACGAATTGAACGATTTATTCGATCAAAGTTTAAATAAGTTGTAGACCCGTCTAGCATATAATAAACAGTTAAGACTAAGTGGACATAAACATAATAAATTTAAGCAAGAGATAACAAAATAATAGTGATCAATAACAGAATCTTGCGTAACTTATCGAGGTCGAGACAATAAATATAAGTTAATGTGTAGGCGGATTTGTTTCAGCACTACAAGTCAAGTCTAAAAATAATTTCACCGGAGTCTGCAAGTCGGGGAGGGTTCTAGAAGAAGCAATGACGAACCATCATCCAGCTCTCAAATAATAAGGCCACCTAATTAGTGGGATCCAACCAAAAACCAACAAACCTGTAATACCAGAACTAGCAGCCACCAATCTAGGTCACGTGATGCCCATATAAGGAGTGCCCCAGCAGAACTAGCAGCCACAGATCTGCTTTTAATGTACAACCCTTTATTTTCAGGCTATAAAATAATACAGGTAGTCGTTCAAGTACCGGGCTGCTCGTTTTTATGTTATCGCATAATCAGTCTGTGTGAGGTAACTCGGGGGGCAGGTCACAGTTATTACAAATTAGCCAACAAATCTCCAGGATAACTTGAATAATTGGTTAACTTAGAAAGAGTGTATAATTACAGGGGGTAAAGATGACGGCTGAGCACGCTGTACAAGTGCTGCTAGTAAAGGCAGGCCCGTGTTATTGAGCCATTTACTTGAAGTGCGTGCTAGGCGTGACAACAAACAAGTCAGCAATACGAGTCCGGCTATTAAATTTCATTATCCAATCTGGCATGGTTGCATCATCGGAGATTATAAGAAAATTCGCGATAAAAG